TGGGTGTGTGTGAATGCACCCTGTGATGGGACGGCATCCTGTGTAGGGTTGGTGCCTGCCTTGTGCCCTGAGCCTCTGGGATAGGCTCAGGCCTATTATCTTACTTGTTTTTATTAACCTTTCTGAAATGTATGTGTAGATCACAATTATTTCAATGTTTAATATTCACAGTGTTTTGCTTTTTATTCAGAAGTTTGGTGATGTTTTTGTGACCAGAAATATGCCTTAGGAACTTAGCTCTTGTTTATATCAATTGGCCTGTGGTAAAATTGGTTTTGTTATTTGTCCTTTCACTTCAAGTTGCAGCTTCTGAGAACCTATTGACAGTGCTAAAATGAGGACTTACTATTAATATATTCAGCAGTTTGTCATATCAACCTTCTTTGTCAACAATATTGCTACAGCACTGTAGAACTGACAAGTGTGTCATTTTCATTTTCTCACATAATAGTTACAGCAATTTTTTAGATGATTATTGTATTCACTTTAGAGTTGAGAAAACTATTTGAGAAGGCAAATGACTTGCTTGGGATTATACAGCTAGAAAGTCGTAGAACTGGGATTGGCATCCCAAGCTCCATATTTTAAATCTTATGCTCTTAGTATGATATCATGCTGTTCTGGAGGTAACTATAAAAATAATAAGAGTTATTATTTACTGAATGTATTCTATGATTAAGCACTTTTCTTAGTGCTTTGTATAGGTTATTTTACCTAATCCTCCAGTCAGTGAAGTTGTTTGTCATCATCACTGGGAAGTTAGATAACTTGTACATGGTCAGACACACCTAGTAAAAGCTGTAGAGTTGAGATTGGCCTGAGGAGTCGGAGCTCTTGGCCCTATGCTATCCTTTAGAATAAGGTAAGAAAAGGAATCCAAACTCAGAACTTTGGTTTGGTTCCTACAGGAATAAGAACTTTCCTGAGTACTAAATTAGAAAAGATATGGAGAGTGCCTGCCACATGACAGAGTCAATAAACATTACTTTTCCTTCCTTTCTTTGAGGAACCATTTTGATATATTCAAATGGTGTATTCTTTTTTTCTTTTTTCTTTTTTTTTTGAGATGGAGGCTTGGTCTGTCACCCAGGCTGGAGTGCAATGGCACGATCTCGGCTCACTGTAACCTCTGCCTGCCAGGTTCAAGCAATTCTCTGCCTCAGTCACCTGAGTAGCTGGGACTACAGGCGCATACCACCATGCCCGGCTAATTTTTTGTATTTTTAGTAGAGATGGGGTTTCACTATGTTGGCCAAGCTGGTCTCGAGCTCCTGATCTCATAATCCGCCCGCCTCAGTCTCCCCAAGTGCTGGGATTACAGGTCTGAGCCACCGCATCCAGCCTCAAATGGTATATTCTTATCCTGGCTCTGCCACTTACTTTTTGTCCTCTGGTCAAATATTTTTGACCTTCACAATACACTTAGTATTTGTAAGCCTTGGTATCCTGATTTTAAAAGTTGCTGTAATATTTACCTTTCAAGATTATTGTTAAGAATAAATAACATACATTTCACTAACAAAGAGCTCTTCAAAAAAATTAAAACTATTATAAGAGACTGATAGATCTGACTACATTAAAATGTAAAATATCTAAGTGTTAAAAGTGAACAATATAAAAAGGTACAAAGATTACTTAGACTTTTGTTGCTAGGACTAATCGTTTAACAGAAGTCCTTGAATATGTTTCATACACTCAGAATAGTAATGAAAGTAGAAGGACTAAAAAGATTTCTGTATCAAATTATTTTTTATTTCTAAAGTGCAGACAAAGGCCACAATTTATATTTTGATTATAACACTTTAGTTGAATATCAGACATGGGCTTATATATTGCAAAACACAGAAAAACACAGAAAAGTTACAACGTATCTTCTTGTGGGTTTTTCATAATGTCAAAACTAAAATGAATTTGCCTATAAAGAAAATGGAGTCATTGAATATGCTTTGTATAAAAGATAAGCCCAGAGTAATGAAGACTGTGTCATCACTTATATAGATGTGTGTATTGGGGGTGTATCTTACAGATGGATAATCAACACACATTATGCTTTGGAAGATAATGAACAAAAGACCTATCAAAGAAAAAGGAAAAAAATACAAGTGGCTAAATATGTGAAAAACTGTTCAATTTCACTGTTAAAGAAACACAAACAAGATGCAACTTTTTACCTATTAGTGTGGCTAAAGATTAAAAGGAGTAATTTTTTTTTTTTTTGAGACGGAGTCACGTTCTGTCGCCCAGGCTGGAGGGCAGTGGCCGGATCTCGGCTCACTGCAAGCTCCGCCTCCCAGGTTCACGCCATTCTCCTGCCTCAGCCTCCCGAGTAGCTGGGACTACAGGCGCCCGCCACTTCGCCTGGCTAGTTTTTTTTGTATTTTTTAGTAGAGACCGGGTGTCACCGTGTTAGCCAGGATGGTCTTGATCTCCTGACCTCATGATCCGCCTGTCTCGGCCTCCCAAAGTGCTGGGATTACAGGCTTGAGCCACCGCGCCTGGCCTAAAAGGAATAATATTTTAAGCCAGTGGTTCACAGTGTAGTCCCTAGACTGGCAGCATCAGTCTCATCTGGAAATTAATTAGAAGTACAAATTCTCAAGCTCCACCACGGTCTAAAATCAGAAATTTGCAGTAGGGCCCAGAACTCTAATTTAACAATCCTTCTAGGTAATTCTGCTAAAGTTTGAGAAAACTATTCTAAAGTGAAGTTGTAATGAGCCAGGTACTTCATATTTTACTGGAAGAAAAGTAAATGGATAGAACTCTAGAAAGCAGTTTGGTAATATGTGTCAAAAATCTCAAAATGTTCATATTATTTGACCCCCAAATTTTACTGTTAGGAATATTCCTTAAGGAAGTGATCAATTTCTGATCATTTCAGCACAATTTAAAGTAGCAGAGATTGGAAATAACCTTATAACTATATATAAAGGAATGGGCTAAAAAAAAAAAAAAACAACTATGGTGCATCCATGTGTGTAGATAAAGAGATTCACATAGGAGAGTTACTAGAGGTGAATATTTAAAAAAATGTTAATAGTTATCTTTCTGGTTGTGGGGTTACATTGACATTCTATGTAGCAGGGCTACAGGAAATGTAAACAAAGGGAACAATGGTTTGGTTTGTAAGAATCATTTCAGATAACCACATTACAGTTTCTCTGAATACAGTGTAATTGGAAGTGATTAGTTTCCCTTTCCCTCCTTTTTCTTTCTGTGCTCTTATCCAGTGCCCACTTGCTGGAGGTATCAGTCTCTCCTTGATTTCCCTGTTGCTAAAACTACTTTTTTATGCTCTGTTTCAATGATATTGCTCCTTCTCATTGTTTACTCTTTTTATCCTATCATTTATGAATTTAGAAACTAAATTTTAAACTGTAAAAGTTTAGAATTATGTTTTAATACACATGGTGTTACTCAAACAGATGTCAAAATATAAAATTGTGTCATGTACAATAATGCTACAGTTGTACTACAGCATAGTATAAGTCACCTTGGAGTCAAATAAATCTGAGCCTAAATCTCAGTGCCATTTTCTAATTTTGTGACCTTGGACATATTATTTAAGTCTTTCTACTTTATAGCTTTTATAAAGTAGAAATCATAATACTTTTTCAAAGGTATTTTTGTGAAAATAAATGACCACATCCACTTAGTGCCTCATACAGAGCCACACAGAGTAGCAATAAAAATTTATTAATTCCTTTTTATCTTTTTACCCATGACAATATAATATAATGAGTTGCTTTCAATTTGCAAAGATTTTTAAAGAGGTGGTGACAGAAAGCATTTCTGTTACACTGTTATGAGAATGAATGTTATTTACCCAAAATGAATGTTATCTATGGAAGATCCCCACAGAGATCCACTTAATTGAGTTATGATTATATATCTCATTTCAAAATTTATAACGTTTCCATATTTTTCATATGGCATTATTTTAATTATTTAAGTTTAATTATTTTGAACAGCTGTCTTCAGGCTTTATAAGATTATCTCAAAATGATACAGCTGCATTTATTTTAGGTCACCAACATCTTTGTTAAGCAGAATAGCATACGATCCTATCAGGTTGAAATCTACAAAAATGCATCTGGAAATTAAAATAAATAAATGACAATCAGTGAATTTCCATAATACATATAAACGAAATGAACATTCTTAATCTTGAAAATCAGTATGAAAAACCAAAGCAACCTTATAAAAATGGCAAAGGCTTTTGAACAAACTGGGTAGTAATCATATGAAAACATGATTAGCATTGCCCATAAAGAAATGAAAATCAGAATAATAATGAGATATATTTTTAATTCATATCAGCAAATATCTCAAAGACTTATACTCAGATCAGAAAAACAGATCCTCTCACATAATATTGGTAAAAATATAAATTGGTACAGTCTTTTAAAAGGTCAAATTGACATTATCAAAAGAATAAATATGAGTCCTCTTTCCTAGAGCAATCTTATTTCTAGAAATTTATTGTATAAACTAAAATATATACTATATTTTGTTGATTTTAAGATACATACTTTTATATTTTAACATTTCTGAAATTAGAATGTTATGTTATAGTTTAATTGGCACTAATTTTTTTCTTTCTTGATGGCATATGAAATAATTGTGTTTTTTACAATTGACAGACTCAGAGTTTATGAAATATGGTATGTAAGGATATATTATTGAAGCACTGTTTATCTTGGCAGAAAACTAGAAACAACGTAAATATCTATAAAATGCAATACTCTGTAGCCATTACAAAGAATAAGGAAGGCATTACGGTAGTATGACTGTGATATATTTTAAGTAAAGGCATCAAGTTATAGATTAATGTGTAAGGAGGAAAAAAAGATGAACATTGGGTGTACATTTGCATATGCATATAATACAGCTTTTATAATGAAATATTTTATTAATTTGATACTAAGAAAATATCTGGAAAGCCAACTTAATCTCATTAGAAAAGAGTCATGAGCAGAAAAACTTCAAATTAAATTCACCTTTTCGCTGGTCCATCCCATGCCTGCAAGGAAAGCCATGACCAACGTGCACAGTCCTCCTGATCCAGGGAAACCAAAATGCACACTGCTGAACACAGCTAGCACAGACAACCCCAGCACAAGGAATGTTCTCTTACACACAAGTTTGTCCTTTAGGAGAAAAAAATTCATTTGCTCCATTATTTCAAATCCCTGATTTTTAACGATTGATTTTTTTCCATATCTAGGATTTAGAAAGAAAATAAAAATTAAAATGTCTATATAAATAGACAAAACAAGTGCACTACATAACATTTACTTTCTTTTCTTCAACAAAAGCAGAGTTAGCACACTGCAAAGGTGAACTCTTCTTTAAGGAACACCAGTTCTTTTCCTCTGCAGTTGTCAATGCAGAATTTAACAGGACTTAATGAAGTAGCAGAAAAAAAAGTACATGAGCTTTGGAGCTGGACAGACCAAGGTTAAACTTATATCTTTTATACATTGTTGGCGTATGTAGTGGTCACATTACTTAACCTCTCCAAGCTTTGTTTCCTGAAAGCATTTACATCATAGGATTTGTGTGAAGGTTAAATATATATCTCTATTATTTTCAGGTTCTATGTTTACTGTTTTAAATTTGACGCCCCCTTGGTTTTTCTTTCTAAATCTTTGAAAACCAGGAAGCTTTAAGAGGTTCTAGACTGACAGTAGTTTTTGTTGCTGTTGTTTTAAAGTCTAAGAATTGTGTACCTTTTTCCCTTTACTTTTCCCTGTCCAGGCTTTTAAACTTCTTGATCACTTTAGAAAGTAGGTCTTTAAAAGTGCTTGACTTGGCAAAGCATGCAAGCTCTGAAGGTGAATTACCTGAGTTCATTCCCAGTTCCACTGCTTTCTAGCTATGTGACTTTGTTCAAGTCACTTATCCTGCCTAAGCCTCAATTTCCTTATCAGTAAAATGGTCATAGTAATAGAAATCTCTTTATGAACTATTTTGTGGGTTGTAGTAGAGCAGTGCTTTCCAACAGAATGTTTAGTGATGATGGAAATGTTCTGTATCTGCTATAGTCACGTGTAGCTAGTGGCTACTGTACTGAACAAAGTGGCACTAGATGATGACTGACTGATTTATGTATGTGTGTATGCATGTATGTATTAGATATGGGCTCTTGCTATGTTGCCAGACTGGACTCAAACTCCCAGAGGGATCCTTTTGCCTCAGCCTCCTGAGTAGCTGGGACTACCAGGCCTGGCTAGAATCTAAGGTATTTTGATACTAAAAAAGGGTACAAAAAAGCTACTACACATCTGGGTTTAGTTGAGTATTATGAACATTTAAAAAACTTGCATATCCTATTACTTTGGAACTGATATTTGTTTTACAATGAAATTTGAAATGTACAGAATATAAAATAGAAACCCATTACAGGACTGCATTAAAATCTTCCGTATTGAGCCCACTTCATAAATCTCATGGATGGCACTAAGCAATTTTAAAATGAGGGACCACTTGCACAAACATGCCCTTCACATCTGTCTTTGAAGGAAGTGTTCTAGAATGTTTTCCCAATGATATTTAAGAGCACAACTTTCCCACATATTATTTTTTCACCTGGTCACGGCTTGGAAAGTACTGAATGAAAAATCCAAGAACAGATCCAGTTGCCACACCAATTACCACCTCCAAAACTCCTCTGAGGACGTTAAAGACAGTGGAGCCTGAAAAATACATTTTAAAAAACTTAAGAGCTCTAAATCCAACAAATACAAGTTTTATTCCACAATCATCAACATAAAGCCTCTAATTACAAAGAAGAAAAATTTTAAAGACAGTTTCTGCTTTCCATATTCTTAAACATGTAAGTAGAACCTACATTTTCCCCCATAGCATATAGGATTTAGGAAACTTCAATTAAAAAAATTTTTTTGTTAGCACATTGTGCAGAAAATTATATTAAAGCTTCTCCACACATTAAGCTCTTCTTCACAGACTGTCCTAAGAAAAAATGTACTAACTAGTTTCTGTGGTCTGTTGTTATTATGGCAATCATCCTTCTTATCTAAATAAAATTACCTCTGAAGTAAGGATAGCTTTCTACCAGGTAATGCTATGACTGTTAAAAGCATCTAGCTGTGATAGTAGCATTATGCTTAAGCTATTGTGGTAATAATTTACTATGAATGTGTAGAAAGTAGCTAATTAGCTTTAGTCTCTGGTATATTGAGGTGTTAAAAAAAATGTCTTGGGCCCCGCCCCTAAAAATCTGATTCAGTAAGTCTGGCAGGGCTCAGATCCAAAAGGTCTAAGGACCACACTTAGTTGGTGGGGTGGGGTGGGGTGGGCTGGCCCCACCTTAGGTGCAGAACTCTTAGTGTTCTTTTGCCTATTTTTAATTTGCCTTAATCAATTATCAAGCAAATATGTCATGCTTATAACATTTTAACCTACGTCTCTAGAGTGCAAGAGTAAAGCCTGTTGTGAACTGATTAGGTTACCTGTGGAAAAGGCTATGCCCAAGCATGTGTTGAAGCCAGTGATGGCCAGAATGTCATCAAAGCTGCCAGCTGCCATGAGCAAGGTCGGGACACCCTTCTCAACACCATAGCCTCCTCCCTGCAGAAGGAGCATTGAAGGCACCACGACAGCTGGAGATACAGCACCTAAAACAAAACTAGGCAGACAGCACTTTAAATATTTATGATAACATCTTACTTATTACTATTTTGAAATTATAATACCCTCCATTTTTTTATGGGTTATACTTTGGACAACTATAGTCTTTCAAATGGCAGAGAAGCATGAATCCAGAAAAACATGTATGTGTAAAACTTCTACAGAACACTGTTTTTTAAAATGTAGCCATAGACAACCTGCTTCAGACTACATAGGTTGCCTAAAAATATATACTTACTAGTGGTATAGAAGGCCTAATGAGGGTAGGCCCCAGGATGCTGGCTTTTTTTAAACAAAAAATTCATGTTATGAGGTTTGAAAAGCAATGCATGGACTTTCTGATTTGGAACCCAGTGATGCTGGGCCTTCTATCAGGGCTTGCTATGTCAAATAAGGCAACATATTAGAAGAAAACGATATGACAGTCACATTGATACCAGTAACCACAGCAGTGGTAACAGCTGAAAGCATTTTACAGTACTTACTATGTACCAAATAACATTTTGAGGACTTTACATGTATTGGCTAATTTAATCCTCACAACAACCCTATAAGATAGATGCAATCTATTTTAATTTTATAATTGAGGAAACTGAGGCACAGAGAGATTAAATACTTGTTAAAGATCACACACTGGAAAATCACAAGGCTGGGATTTGAATCCAGAGAGGAGAGTTCCAGAGTCTTAACCATGAGGAGAATTTCTTACTTCTTGCCTACTTATTAGCACTAAATTCTTACTAAGTCCTTTCTTATTTATTTACTTTGTGTGGCTCTTAACCGTTGGAAGAACTGACAGTGGAAGGAAGAGATGGCAGAACTGCCAAGTCATAATAGTCTGATGACAGAAGGAAAACAATAGTAGCTGTTGATCACTGCTGCTGTGTTTTTTATCCTTTGTGCAGACTTTAGGTGGAATCCGGTATCTCTTTTAACAGGCATTGAATCAGGTGTAGGCAAAAGACCACGATTTCTTCAACAGTTTGAATAGTAGGAGCTAACTATACGAGTTAGCGCCTACTAACATATAAACTTCTGGCCCCTCCTTAGGTGCAGAACTCTTAGTGTTCTTTTGCCTATTTTTAATTTGCCTTAATCAATTATCAAGCAAATATGTCATGCTTATAACATTTTAACCTATGTCTCTAGAGTGCAAGAGTAAAGCCTGTTGTGAACTGATTAGGTTACCTGTGGAAAATTCTGAAGTTAGAATATTTAGATTATGCTGTAACATCTATGTTGCATTTTCTGATATCTATAAGAAAATTCTATTACGCATTCTCTTGTATGGAATCAGAGAAAGCCCTAAATGTCCCTACATATTTTCCATGACAAAGAAACAATCATTACCCCAGTATAAATCCCCATTGCCATGGTAAACCCAGCAGGTAATGGGCCATAAGAGCAGATGTACACGCCTCCACAATACAGGGACCCATGGACAGTCTTACACAAACGCCCTTTAACTTCTTCAGGGCCTGAAACAGAAAAGCAGACATCCTAATATAATCCTCTGAAGATGTGCAGAGAAGATGACCTTCAACGCTTTCTCTTCAGTATATGGGCAATGTCTGGGTCATCATGAGTTTTCAAGGTAATGAGTTGTATTTAACAAACATTTTAGTACTCCAAGTGTTTACAGACAGCTTATTTAGTCCTCACTGCAACCTTTTAAGATAGGTAATACTATTATCCCCATTTTTTTAGATGTCCTCATCTGAAAAGACACAGGCTAAAGTCATCCGCCCAAGATCATGAAACTGGTGAGTGATGGGGTCAGGTTTGAACCCAGGCAGGCTGCTTTCAGCATCTGTGTTCATAATCTCTAGCTAATTTCACATTATTTTTATTTATAATCTGTGGTTCCAGAATGAGACTAAGTGAAGAGCCTAATACCCCAAGAAAATTCATTCCTGTACTAAAAAACACACATAAAAAAAAAAAAAAGCATTAGAAAGGCATACTTGAGACTCATTCTATATATTAGGCAGTTTCCTGAGCTAGTATAGTTAGCCCTGAACACTTGCATAGGGCTTCGCAAACCAAAAATATGTTATTTTCTCCACTATGAGCATTATTTATAACCATGGTCTATATCTATGTCAGAGAAAAGTGGGGCCTTTATTCTTGGTGCTGGCCCCATAGACAGACTCTACCTTTCCCCAAGAAACAGAATGAGATCGGCCAGGTGCAGTGGCTCACGCCTGTAATCCCAGCATTTTGGGAGGTGGAGGCAGGCGGATCACCTGAGGTCAGGAGTTTGAGACCAGCCTGGCCAACGTGGCAAAATCCCGTCTCTACTAAAAATACAAAAATTAGCCGGATGTGGTAGTGCATGTCCGTAATCCCACCTGTTTGGGAGGCTGAGGCAGGAGAATCACTTGAACCTGGGAGGCGGAGGTTGCAGTGAGCTGAGATTAAGCCACTGTACTCCAGCCTGGGTGACGGCTCCGTCTCAAAAAAAAAAGGAAGAAAATGAGACCATCTTTTGAGTTATTGCAAAGCACAAGGTCCTACTTGCAAAACAATCCTCCATGAAATAAATTCTATTCTATTCTCAAGAATGTCATGCAAAGTGTCCACATCCATTTCCTAATGCTTAGCGATTCTATTAGATACTTGAAGTATTGAAGAAACAAAATTCCTATTTAATAATGAGAAATTTACACATCATACCTTTGAATCCAGACCAAGGCCAGCACGAACCAGGATGATAGACAGGGCTATGCTTCTCAAAGAGGAAGACCACTTGTGCTTGATCTGTACATTATCGTTGACGACTGGGATATTTCTGATGAGAAACCCTGCAAGCAGCATGCCTTGAATGAAGAAATCAAACATGTCTAGTTAGTTTTCAAATACAGAAAATATTTTTAGTTAACTTTAATTTTATAGAGACTACTCTATAATCCCAGGAACCACTTCACTCATGCTTAGAAGAAATGAAGTTAAACTTTTAGTTTAACTTGGAAGAAATTAAGTTAAGCTTTTAATTAAAAAATTAGTATAATTAAAGCAGCTAAGAAAATAATGTGCACATAAAAAGATAATTTATAATAATTAATATTCCTAAAATAACTGAACTTAAAAGGGAGACAAGATGCAGCATTTGGATAGAGAGTATGATCAAATTCTACATATAAAATGTTTTAACACAATGCCAGCTCAGTCAGTCCTTTGCGTGCAAACAGCAAACAGTCCCTGAAATTATTTGCTATGTCAGATTACTTGAAATATCAATAAATACCTATATGGATTCTATTTTACCTTCAGATTAGATAATTTCATAAGAGACACATAATCTACTTTGCGAAGGTTTTAGATGTCAATTATGATGAAATGAACATTGCCCTGTCATGTCAGCCGGTGACTCTTCTTTCACTCAGTCATTCAACTCTACTGAATGCCTTCAGTAGTTTAGACGCGAGAGTATGCATCACGCATATAATAATGAACTACTTTTCAACAAGCTTTCAGCCTCTAGGGAACAAGACAAACGGACAATACCAATTTTATGAAAGTATGAGGGGGATGTTACATGAGCTGAGGCAGGAAGGGGGATTTAGAGAAGGGGAAAGAGGATGAAGAAATGGCTGGGGGAGTTGAGAAGTTTCTGGAAAAGACAGTAGTTTATTCAAAGGTAAAAGAAAAAGTGACTCATTCTGGAAACTGCAAGAAGTTGAGTGTAACTGACGAAGCTGGGTAGTGAGTGAGGGAATTCTGCCTTCATTGATATCACATGCCCACACAAAGGGAAAGGTTTCTGTGAGAGACTGTGAGCCTCTTCCCTCCATGCTTCTCCAGCAGTGCCCTCTTCTCACCTCGTCCCTATAAGCACCATACTTCAAACAACTAAATAAATTTACTGAAGTTAGGATATTTTGTGATGCAAGATGGGAGAAGAGAGACAACCTGCTGCACATGAAAGCATCACTCCAGGTGTCTCTCATCACTGCCATTTATCTACGGGAAAGGCTCTAAGTTCTGAATGCTGTGGCGATGGTCTTTCTGGAATGTTTATTGGGCAACAGTATCAACAGGCTTGGCTTTTGGAAGAAGTAATGATGAGTTATATATGCACATGGTAAAATTAAGACATTGCTGACAAAAAGGTAAAGTGACAAGTATATATTGTACCCCAGCTGCAACTTTCCATCTTCATTCCTGAATGGTTTTCACTGTTGAGGATCTTCTGTGCCCTTCCAGAAAGTTTCTGTACCTATTCAAGCATATTTCTGTGTGTATAAGCTCTTTTGTGCTGGACACAAATAGGACACTGATACACTGCTGTACGGCTTGGGTTTTTTCCCATTTAATAATATATCCTGGACATTTTCCCACTGAAGCACATATATATTTGCTTTATTCCCTTTTAATAGCTGGAATAGTATCTCACTGTTTGGAAGTTCCATAATTTTTGGACCACTAATAATAGATTTTAAGAAATTTTTCAGGTTTCTCATTATAAACAGTGCTGAAATGAGCACAATTCATATGTCAAGTATTTAAGTGCCTGCTACATGCTAGCCCTGTATGAGATCCTAGTAACAAAGAGGTGAGCTAGACCAGCAGTCCCCAGCCTTTTTGGCACCAGGGACTGGTGTCGTGGAAGACGGTTTTTCCATGGATGGCAGGGGGAATGGTTTCGGGATGAAGCTTCCCACCTCAGATCATCAGGCATTAATTAGATTCTCATAAGGAGCACGCAACCTAGATTCCTTGCATGTGCAGTTCCCAACAGAACTCATGCTCCTATGAGAATCTAATGTCGCTGCTGATCTGACAGGAGGCAGAGCTCAGGCAGTAATGATTGCTCACCTCCTGCCATGGCCCGGGGCTTGGGGACCCCTGAGCTAGACTAATGTGGTCCTTGTCCATATGGAGCTTATATATTTGTAGGTTTGCATTAACTATATTCATATTATAATTCCTAGCAGTGGAAATGTTAGGCCCTATGGTATAGGTGTATATAATTTTTATACATATTGATGATTTACCAGCCAAAAATACTGCACTAATGCTTACATTCCATTATCATGACAATAGCTCTTTAATGAAATTTAAAATATGTGTCCAAACCACTCCTAAATTAATTATGGCATTCAATGACCTGAAATAAAATGGAGTATCCTAAGAAGAACTCAAAACTACGTTAAGAGGTTTTTTGTTTTGGGGGATATGAGGGGGCATTTTTTTTTTTTTTTTTTTTTTGAGACAGGGTCTTGACACATTGCCCAGGTTGGTCTCAAACTCCTGGGCTCAAGCAATTCACCCACCTTAGACTCCCAAGATGCTGGGATTACAGGTATGAGCCACTGCTCTCTCTTGGCCTGAGAGAGCACTTTTCATTCCTGAAATGACCGTGAGAACAGCTTCCCTGGGACACTGTTTCCTTTGCTAGTGGTTTGGTTGATGTAATGTGACCACCTGATTTTGATTTGGCACGTGTCCCCACTCGTGCCTGTAGGGCCTCCCTTGATCATGGAGGAAAGAACGTCTTCCTGGATATAAGAGTGTTGTTCTCTTAACATTTTGTATTATGAAAATTATCAACATATGGCTAATCTCATTTCATCTACTCCCAAGTTTATATTTTTATAATTTGTGTTATGGAAATGTTTTCAATAATGATTTGCCTTCTCTTCCAAAGGGAAGCCATTTTCAAATTCATTTCAGGAATCAAAAATGCTCACTCATACTCGCGTCCCTGGCAATCACTTCAGTTAAACTCTTAAAAATATAACAGGCAACCATCACATATATTTTGTCTTAATAAGTTTCCTTTATGGATTCAGATAATGCTTCAGTTTTGGATACTGGCCTTAATATAATAAGAAGCAGTAAACTTTCTTCCTCTATGCAAGTATACAACTATAAAAAAGAATGTTGAAATATGTATGTAATTTTTGAGAATGATTTCAGTTACCTTAGGAGATTTCATTTTATCACAAATCCCAATACTTTCCATCTTTTTGCAACATGGTATATTTTGTTTTTGCAATAGGCATGGAGTGAAAAAAAGACAAATGGGTGTAATGGGCATTTTCATGTGTCTAGAACAACAGTCTTCAACATAGGTTGTATATTAGAATCATCTGGAGGGCTTTTTAAAACTTCTGATGTCCAGGCCATACCATATTCCATTTCAATTAATTCAGAATCTCTGGGGTAAGATCTAGGCATCAGCTTTAATTTATTTTTTTTATATTTTTATTTTTTGAGAAGGAGTCTCGCTCTGTCGCCAGGCTGGAGTGCAGTGGCGCAATTTCAGCTCACTGCAACCTCTGCCTTCTGGGTTCAAGCGATTCTCCTGCCTCAGCCCCTTGAGTAGCTGGGGCTACAGGTGTATGCCAACCATGCCTGGCTAATTTTTTTGTATTTTTAGTAGAGACGGGGTTTCACCATGTTGGGCAGGATAGTCTTGATCTCCTGACCTTATGATCCACCTGCCTCGACCTCTCAAAGCATCAGCTTTTTAAAGACAGGTGATCCTGGCCTGGCATGGTGGCTCACACCTGTAATCCCAGCACTTTAGGAGGCCAAGATACGAGAATTGCTTGAGCCCAGGAGTTCAAGACCTGCTGAGCAACAAAGTGAGACCCCATCTCTACAAAAACCAAAACGGTGTAGGGGCATGTGCCTGTAGTCCCAGCTACTGGGCAGGCTGAGGCACGAAGATTGTTTGGGCCCAGGAGGTTGAGGATGCAGTGAGCCATGATTGTGCAACTGCGCTCCACCCTGGGCAAATGAGACCCTGCCTCAAAAACAAAACAGAACAAAACAACGAACGAGAGATTCTTATGAGCAGCCAAGTTCTAGAATGAATGATCTTGCTACATAAAATGTGATCTTAGAGCTTAGAAATGCAGAATCTCAGGCCATGAAGACCTACTTAATTAGAATTTGTATTTTAACAAATTCCAAGGTCATCCTTTGTACAGTGAAATTTGAGAGTCACTAATTTTGATACAAGGGTCAGCAAAAATGTTCTGTAAAGGGCCAATGAGTATCTTAGGCTTTGTGGGCCATAAAGTCTCTGTTAGAACTTCACAACTCTGCCAGTATAATGCAAAGCAGACATAGACAATATGCAAACAAATATACGTGAGTGGGCTCCAATTAATATTAATTTATAAAGAGAAGTAGTCTGCCAACCCTTTATCCTAGTATATAGGCATATTTAGAAACAATTCATTTTAACAATAATTCAATTAATAACATTAGAGAACAAAAAGCACCTATGAGAAATAATATGAATTAAGTGGAATACCTTTAGTTTTACCTAAAATTAGAAATACATTGAGAAATGGGGCATAGTAAGAGATAAATAATTCTACTTCTTTTTATATTTAACTTTAACTACTGACCACAAGTTCAAAAGCAGATAACTTTGGTGTATGTTAGCGAATCCTGATTGTTCTTACTCATACAGCTAACAGAAAAAAAAAAAATGTTCAGGAAATGTGTGCAAATATATATGCAAGTATGAAAGGTAGGTTGTTTTTTACTAAAACTGGGCGATTAATAAATCTGTTAGAAATGAACACAAAATGCCTCTGTGGTAAACAAATTTTATAATGCAGAATTCTTTGAAGACACATTAAAGGTATCACATCTAGTTTTAAGACTAATTTGTATATGTGTCTTGTTTGGGCAGTTCTCATTGCCTCTGGAAGAGTATTTTCAGCTATGTCTTTAAGAATCATGGTATTTTATTTCATTTTTATATTTTTTGAGATGGAGTCTCACTCTTGTCACCCAGGCTAGAGTGTAGTGGCACGATCTCGGCTCACTGCAACCTCCACCTCCCAGGTTTAAGTGATTCTCCTGCCTCAGCCTCCCAAGTAGCTGAGGTTACAGGCACCCGCCACCACGCCAAGCTAATTTTTTTAAATTTTAATAGAGATGGAGTTTCACCATGTTGGCTAGGCTGGTCTTGAACTCCTGACCTCAGGTGATCTGCCCGCTTTGGCCTCCCAAAGTGCTGGGATTACAGGCATAAGCCATCATGCTCGGCCAATATTATATGTTAAATATACCCTCTGGTGTGCTGGTAAATGCTTAACAAGTGGCTTGCCAAAAAAGTATGCATTTTATATAGGCACATACATTATTAAATTTTACTGATATAAAGGATGTGCAGCACACACTTTACAAATATACAGCCATCTTCACTGTAAATTCTATATAGCCAATTTATTCTCACAGAATGTTTTCACTGCTGTTTGTCAAAATTCTGTGTCCATAACAAAGTATGGCTGTAGTTCTACCAAGATTTGACAGAATCAGACTACAAATAAATGGTTGCATACTATCTGATTCAGCAAAGAAGTCACATATCATGAATGAGCAAGTGCAGTGTCACCGTGAATGCTGGTTGATATTTTTGCTTATATTAATGAATAAGATGAAAATGAAACAATAAAAATACATGTCAGAACTTCACTCTGTCAATGACATAAGTGACTTATACTTTGACAAACCTTGATTTGTAGCATTTCCTGATTTTTTTTTGTTGTTGTTGTTACAGATACTTCTACCATGGCCGATTTTAAGCTACAACATGATGTCACTGTAACTGGAGTTGGGAAGAGGTGGCAGTGGTACACCATTATGTAGTATTTCCATAATCTCAAGAGCATAGGTGAGGGGAAATAGAGTAAAACATTAGGAAGTCTTCAGGGTTGAGCACTGAATGCTTGTTTCTAATGTCAGTTATTTAATTTTAAGTGTGTATATATATACAGATATATATATATACACACACAGACACAGACACAGACACACACACACACACACAAACATATATATATATATTTATTTATTTATTTATTTTTTTGAGACAAGGTCTCTTTCTGTTGCCCAGATTGGAGTGTAATGGTGCAATCATGGCAGCCTCGACCTCCTGGGTTCAATCAATCCTCCCACCTCAGCCTCCTGAGTAGTTGGAACTACAGGTGCACGTCACCATGCCCAGCTAATTTTTGTATTTTTTTGTAGAGACAGGGTTTCACCATGTTTGCCCTGGCTGGTCTCAAACTCCAAAGCTCAAGCAATCTGCCTACCTTGGCCTCCCAAAGTGCTGGGATTACAGGTGTGAGCCACAGCACCTGGGCCACGATAATTTAATTTTTTAAACTGCCATGTTTAACAACTGGATCACAGGACTCCTCAAAATTTAGCAATTGGCTTTTGGCTCCAGCATGGCAAATACAGAAATATTTTATTCCTTTATTTCCCAAAGCTTTCCAAACTATTATTTTTAAAATATGGTTTACTCTGGAGAAAACAGGAAACATTTAGCACTTACCAAGAAGAGAAGGCAGTGGAGGCAATGTAGGTAACTTAATAAGTCCCAAAAGTTTACCTCCAATGATGGCACAATAGAATAGGATTATAATTCCAAATAGGTTTCCTCCAGGAAGACATTCACTGCCAGTAATTGACCAAACTACAGCCCACAGAAGAACAATGATGGTAACTGAAATAAACCAGGAATACTAGTTACTATCAATAAGTTGTCACATGGAGGTTTTGACAAAATCTAAAATAATTTGTAAAAATAAATACTAATGAAAATGCAAATATTTATAATCATGTTTAATCTGTAGAGTATCAGTAAGATGAACAACTGGGTAACTGCCAACATCTTAAGAAATCGCATATTAACAGTACTTTTGAATCTGCCTATGTGGCCCTCCCCATCCATCTCCCTTTATACTGCCAGAAGGAACCATTATTTTGACTTTTTTCACCATTCACTTTTTTCTCTATAATTTAAAAATATATATATTATTTAGTTCTATCTTGAATTAGACATTATTGTTTCTTTTTTTATAGTCAATATTTGTTTAGAATTACCTACAAAGGTACTTTTTCTGAAATCATCATTCATTATGGCATCTCAAACTTTTCTTTTTTTTTTTTTTTTGTTTTGAAACAGGGTCTCCCACTGTAGCCCAGGCTGGAGTGCAGTGGTACAATCATGGCTCACTACAGCCTCAACCTCCCAGGCTCAAGCAATCCTCCTGCCTCAACCTCTCACATAGTTGGGACTACAGGTGTGTGCCACCATGCCTGGCTAATTTCTTTAAATTTTTTTAGTGGAGACAGGGTTTCATCATTTTACCCAGGCTGGTCTTGAAGTCTTGAGCTCAAGTGATCCTGTCTCAGCCTCCCAAAGTGCTGGGATTACTGGTGTGAACCACCTCATCTAGCCTCAAATTTTTCATCTGGGACAATTATCTTGCTGCCTAAAGTATTTCCTTTAGGAAAAGAATTTCTATAAGAATGTGAAATAGGCCAGGCATGGTGGTTTATGCCTGTCCCATCACTTTAGGAGGTCAAGGCAGGAGGATTGCTCGAGCTCCAAGTTCAAAACCAGCCTGAGCAACATAGTGAGACCTCATCTCTACTAAAGTATAAAAATTAGCTGGGTATGGTGGTGGGCATCTGTAATCTCAGCTACTTGGGAAGCTGAGGCAGGAGGATCCCTTGAGCCCAGTTCGAGGATGCAGTGAGCTACGATTGCACCACAGCACTCCAGCCTGCGTTACACGGCGATACCCTGCGTCAAAAAAAAAGAAAAGAAAAGAAAAGAAAAGAAATATTTCCTTGTTTGAAAACTTGTGTTTTACAAAACTGTGCACTAAAAATTGAAAAGTTTATGGGAAAAAGAGAGTTGGGGCAGACCACTCAAAACTGGTGACCAAAGCACTAAGAAAAACCAAAACAATCCTACACACTGAATCTACACACTGACATTTGTGTCTGACACAGGCGGTCTGTGATGGAAATTCTTGAGGGTATTTTCTTTAAGCAGAGCAGTTCCATCGAAATCTGATCCATATTTTAGCCCTCTGCCTCAATACAATAAATTTCAACAAAAGGAAAAGCGTAGGCAGCTTCTTTACCTCAGCTTATACTCTCAGCCACTTCATCCACATGTGTTCTATTAGATAACTTAATGTTGTAGAATGTTTGAGTCCTTGAAGCCCCTAAACCAGCTACTAATTGCATGAAAAGTCAGCACTTCCACAGAGGTTTCATCGTTTAAAAGGTCCTCATGCAGGGAAGGCTTTATCTTTAATTGTAAGAAAGCATATATTTGGTCTTTTTTTCCCCCAGTTCACTTTGCCTTCACTTGCTATTGCTTGACGATACAAAATATTAATGGGCCAGGAAAAATTATACACAAAACTGCAAATTCCATACACTCTAACACAATTCTCCTATTTACCATTGCATATGAGCTAATTCATGATACAGAAACACTCCGTATCACAGCATGCTGTATTTCTCAGGAGGATCTGTTGTAGTAAATTCTTAGTTTCATTGTCTGGAATTATCTTTATTCTCATTCTTAAAAGATAGTTTTTCTAGGTATACCTCAGTTTTATGTTAAATTCTAGGTTGAGTGTTATTGTCTCTCGTTCTTTGAAAATACTATTCCTTGGTTTTCCGGTTTTGAAGAACCTAATTTCAGCTTTTTAAAGGAATTCTTTTTCCTTGTTTTTAACATCTTCACTTTTTCTTTTGTTTGCCTTTCAGTATGATATGTTTAGGTGGGACTTCCTTTTGTTTTGCTTAAGATTCATGCTTTTTAAAAAAATCAGTTCTGGAAAATTCTTAGCCTTTATTTCTTCAAAGATTTCCTCTTCCCCATTCTCTTTTTCCATGTTGCTAACCCTAGTTTTCATATTTTTCATCTTTGTGTGTACTGCATTCTAGATAATCTCTTCAGATTTATTCACCCGTTCACCATTTTTTTCACTTAATCTGTTGCCTAATTTGTCCATTGAGTTATTTTCAATTACTATCCTATATCTTTCATTCCTAGAAGTTCAAGTTGGTTCTTCCTCAAATCTATTCATTTTTTAAATAGTTACTTGTTTTGTACTCATGTTTTCTAATTTTTAACTTATTTATATATATAAATGTGTTATATTCTATTTTCTGATAATGCACATTTTTGAAATCTGTTTTTTTGTTTCCTTTCGCATGTTGCGTTTTTGTTGTTGTTGTTGTTGTTGTTGTTGTTTTTAGTTTTTTGCCATAGTGAGCTCTCCCTTGGAACTTTGTCTAAAACTAAAGGTTTTAGTTTGTCTTTTGCAACAGTGAGCTCTCCCTTGGAACTGTGTCCAACTTTGTTGAAGCTTTAGGCTGAATGAGTTTTCCCAGATGGGAAATGAATTTACTTCTACCATGTCCTTAAAAGCCATCCCGAGACCATCTGAAAATGTTTGAACATAGATACATTTTCAAATTGAATTTTTTCTGTGAAATTGGAGACAAATCAGGATGAAGTTAAACATTTTTATTGGAGACTCTACACTTGCCCCAGCCAGCAACCACAGTTGAGACAGGTTTAGTCACAGGCCCCATCTGCAGAACAGGTTTACCTCAAATTTGGCATTACACTGGGTTTCCACTTTATGTGGGTGAAGGAGAATGCTTTTTCCTGTTAGATTTCTCTCAACCTGGGCAAGGACTAGCTTAGCCTCCTGTGCTCCCAGTGCTCTCAAAATCCATCGCAAGTTCCCTGAGGTTTGGTAGAAACCTCCAGGGTGGGGCCACCTTGAGGGCTTATTGACCTCTGTTACTTACACTTTGGTTTTGGTGTCTGATGATTCCCTGTTTTCTTGACAGATCATTTCAAAAGACTTAAAATATTTTTTCAGATGCTTTCCTTGGTTTGTGACAAGATTGTTCATTGAGTCTTATCTACCATACTGACTGAATTCAATGTCCCTTTTCCTAACCCTCACAGAATTGTTACAGATTTTCTAGGCTTATGATACTACTGCAGTGGAATACCTAAGGGACTTTTGGTGTTTCCCAATTAGCTACAAGGGTTGACATTTCTATGTGATATCAGAAGTAGAATGGGAAAGCAGGATTTGCCAGCTATTATACTAAATTCTACTTTGTCATAGCATAAACTCAAGCTAACATTAAATTCAGCAAGGTAGAATTAAATGTTTTCTCTTTTCAGCTGGGTGCCTGTAATCCCAGCACTTTGGGAGGCCAAGGCAGGCGATCACGAGGTCAGGAGTTCAAGACCAGCCTGACTAACATGGTAAAACCCTGTCTCTACTAAATACAAAAACTAGCTGGGCATGGTAGCACGTGCCTGTAATCCCAGCTACTCAGGAGGCTGAGGAAAGAGAATCACTTGAACCCAGGAGGCAGAGCTTGCAGTGAGCTGAGATCGAGCCATTGCACTCCAGCCTGGGTGACAGAGCGAGACTCCATCTCAAAAAACAAACAAACAAAAAAAAAAGAGTTTTCTCTTTTCTACTTCAAGACTATTAAAAAAGTCTCTAACTCTCTTTCCCTGTGCCTTACCTGAAATACAGTTGTAAATACATAGCAAATGGTATGTCTATAAGGTTTCTCTAAATCATGTTTAAATCAGTTAACAATTTACTTCTCATTTATGATTATGGAAAACCACAAATTTTCACATGTAAGATTTACCTTTTTTATTTTATTTTTTTGAGACAGTTTCACTCTTGTCACCCAGGCTGCAGTGCAATGGCATGGGCTCACTGCAACCTCCACCTCCTTGGTTCAAGTGAGTCTCCTGTCTCAGCCTCCCAAGTAGCTGGAATTACAGGCACCCGCCACCATGCCCGGCTAATTTTTTGTATTTTTAGTAGAGATGAGGTTTCACTATGTTGGCCAGGCTGGTCTTGAACTCCTGACCTCGTGATCTGCCTGCCTTGGCCTCCCAAAGTACTGGGATTACAGGCGTGAGCCACCGCGCCCAGCCTGCTTTTTAAGAAGAATACTGATATATACTGCATAGGCACAGGAAAGAATATAGGACAAAAGTTGTCTTGTAAACTTCCGGAACAGAAAAACAGAAAAATAAGCGATGAGATGTTTATCTACCATGAACCTCATTTTTCAGGCTGCTTTATGAACAATTACATATTTTTAAAAAATGAGTCCCAAAATTATTCATTTTTACTCTTTCCTTATGTCGGTCTGTATCTGTTTCATTGCAAATGTTTTAACTATAAATAGGCCACATTTTGAATAATAAAAGTTTAAAAAATAATAGAAAGAACAGAAAAGGTATTCAATTATCTGTTTTCTTATCAGCTAGTGTATATTTTTGGATTCTGGTTTTCTGTACATGTTCTAAGTTTGGGATTTTCTTCTATGCTTATTTAAGTAATCTCACTTGGTTTCATTAAAAACACATCTAGAGCCTAAAGTATAAAATATTATGCTTGGCTTTCATTGTCCCAGATGATAATGGTAAACATGTCTTTCAGAGCCCACAAAGTATAACTATGGAATTGAGTCTCATTTTTCAGTAAACATATGTGGGCATCCATATATTTACTTCAATGATGCTATTATTCCTCAACACAATTTTTTTGAAATTGTCTTTAAATTTGCCTTAAAAGGCAAATTTAGTAAGACATAAAACTATGAAACTATTAGAAAAAAACATAAGAAAAAAGCTCCATGACACTGGTTTGAGCAATAACTTTTTGGATATGACTCCAAAAATATAGGCAACAAAAGCAAAAACAGACAAACCAGATTACATCAAACTAAAAAGCTTCTGCACAGCAAACAATCCACAGAGTGAAGAGACAACCTACAGCCTGGAAGAGAACAGTTGCAAACTATGTACTTTGCAAGGAGTTAATGTCCAGAATATAAAAGGAACTCAAAAAACTCAATAGCAGGAAAACAAATAATCCAATTTAAAATGGGCAAAGGACCTGAATTTTTCAAAAGAAGACATACAAATGGCCAACAGGTATAGGAAAAAATGTTCAACATTTCACTTCATGCCTGTCAGGATGGCTATTATCAAAAAGACAAAAGATAACAAGGGGTTGGCAAGGATGTAGAGAAAAGGTAACTCTGTGCACTGTTGGTAGGAATGTAAATTAATACCACCATTATGGAAAGTGGTATGGAGAGTCCTCAAAAAAGTAAAAATAGTACCACCATATGATCTGGCAATCCCATTACTAGGTATGTATCCAAAGGAAATGAAATCAGTATGTTGAAGAGATGTCTGCACTCCCAAGTTTACTGCAGTACTATTTACAATAGCCAAGATGTGGAATCAACCTAAGTGTCCAACAGTGAATGACTGGATAAAGAAAATATGGTGTATATACACAATGACATGTTTTTCAGTCATAAAAAAGAATGAAATCCTGTCATTTGCAACAATGTGGATGAACCTGGAGGATATTATGCTAAGTGAAATAAGCCAGGCACTGAAAGACAACTACTACACATTCTCACTCGTATGTAGAATCTAAAAAAGTTGTGTTCTTATGGAAGTAGTAAATAGAACAGTGATTACCAGGGACTGGGGAGCGGAGGAGCTTGGGTTTATGGGGAGAGAGCGGTCAACAAGTACAAAGTGATAATTAGATAGGAAGAGTAGTTTGTTCTGTACCACAGCAACGTGACTATAGTCAGGAATAAGGTATTGTATATCTCAAAACAGAAGATTTTCTATGTTCTCACCATGAAGAAATGATAAATGCTTCAGGTGGTAAATATGCTAATTAGCTAGATTTGATCATTATACAATATATAAATGTATTGAAACATCATATTGTACCCCACAAATATGTACAAATATGTGTCAAAAACAAAAATAAATAAATAATGCTGATGAATGGATGTTTATGCTTTTGAACAATTCTTTTTATATTTTGATGTTAAAATTATCTTTATCTTTTGAAAATATGATTTACAAAAGTGAAAAATTGTGGATAGATTCCAGGCATTTAAAAGTTGGCAGGTTAAAACTAGTTTTGCCAGGTGCAGTGGTATATATCTGTAACAAGCTACTTGGGAAGCTGAGGTGGGAGGATCTCTTGAGCCTGGGAGTTCAAGACCAGCCTGGGCACCATAACAAGATCATGTCTCCAGGAAAAAAAAGGTTGGGTGGGGGACGTGAAAGTGGCAGGAAGGCTATGACCAATGCCTTGACATGTAATTTTCTCTAGACTTTAAATCTGAAGATCCATGAAAAAAAAAATGTATACACACATGCACATATAACTCAAGTATACTAAGTGATATATATTGGGCTATTGGTCATAGGACACAACACTTCAGTTAGACAGGAGGAACAAGGTTAAGAGGTTTATTGTACAACATGAAGACTATAGTTAATAACATACTGTATTCTTGAAAAATGTTAAGAGTGAATGTAATGTGTTCTCACCACAAAAAATGATAGCTATGTGAGGTAATGCATATGTTAATTAGCTACAATTAGTAATTCTACTATGTATACATACTTCAAAACATCACGTTGCACAAAGCAAATACTTAAAATTTTATCTATCAATGTAAAAAATAAATTTTAACTCTCAATGAAAGAATATTGTCTTCTTAAAAAAAAACTAATTTGCCTTTATAGATAATTTTCAAATCTCTTCTTTTTTCTACTATATCACATATCCGCCAGCATACACAGCACAGACACACATAAGCACACAATTCATTTCTGAAGAAAAATAGGGCATAAATGAATCTGAACTTCCATATATTTGTCAAATTGATAGCAGAATAACCTTTGGCTTCCTCCAAAGACCAAATCCGTTCCTAAAAGACAAATATATTACAACCCTAAAAATTTGCAAAATAGTGCTGAGATAAACTCCCAAAGAAAAATCCTCCAAATGTCTTATGTAACAGCAGCTCTACTAAAATAAGCTGAATTGTAAACCAATATTCTTACTTATAAAGTAACAGGATTCATTTGGAAGTATCAATGGGGCTGTGTTTGCTAAAATATTACTTGCATTACTTAACAGTAATAACAACCAACATTTATGTAGTGTTTTAGATAGTCCTAAAGTAATCCTGTGAAATTACTCAGATACAGTAAAGGTCGTTGATCTGTGTTCCTTCCCCCTTCCCACAATGGTGGTGACCACAGTGATCCTGAAAGCCAAGGTGAAGACAGTGGAGCCCTGTTAGTCTAGGTCCTTCCCTTCAGTGTGTGGGACAGAGCCACCCATGTGTGTGAATTGTTCGCCAACTAGTTTTTATGTGTGGGAGAAGTGAACTTTTTGTCTTTTCAACCATATTATTTAGGAATCTGTCATTATAACAACTTCATCTTTTGCCCTCTATTTCTGAATTCATCCTTACCATTTGTTATGACCCTGTCCAGTAAACCATGCGGAGGGCAAGCCAGCATTTGTCTCAGCCTTTGTACGTGATTTGCTTCAGTTGGTGTTTCTTGTAGCTTTTTTTCACTGCTTTTCAAAAGGATACTTCCTTCTGTTGGTTCATTTGCATCTATACCTTTGAGGTTCATAACTGTCTCCTCCTGTATTTAAAGTAATTTTAAAAATCCTTAAAACTGTATATATTTTACACATTTTTATAGGTACTGCATCATCACCTTACAAATCAAATTTATGACTAGACTCAAGTATAACACTTTGTAGGAAAAACACACAGCTTTATTACTAGCTAATCAGCTTGAAACAAGAATTATGCTAGGAGTATTTAGCACAGTCACTATTTTTAGTACAGGTTGAGTATCACTAATCTGGAAATCTAAAATCTGAAATGCTCCAAAATCTGAAACTTTTTGAGTGCTGACATGACACACAAGTGAAAAATTCCACACCTAAACTCACATGACAAGTAACAATCAAATGCAACTTTGTTTCATGTACAAAATTATTTAAAATATTGTATAAAATTACCTTCAGATTACCTGTATAAGGTGTATATGAAACATAAATACATTTCCTGTTTAGACTGGGGCTCCATCTGCAAGATATCTCATTAGATGCATGCAAATATTAAAAAAAAAAAAAGAAATCCAAGACACTTATGGTCCCAAGCATTTCAGATAAGGGATACTCAACCTGTATTATAAATGTCTGGGTCACATAACATTTTATTACGTTTTGTAATACTGGGTTTTAAAATAAGCATATTTAAGATAAAATTCAGGGCAATAATTGGCACATATACCAAAGTAGTTTAGAAAAAGATAACTATCTGTAATGAAAACCACTTCACATTCATTAATCTACTTGAATTTAAGCAATAAAAAGAAAGGAAGAAACCAAAACCATTCTAGAGATTAGGTCAGAGACACAAAGCATTCCACAGGCTCGCCATTTTTCTAGCCACAGGTAGGGTCAACTGACAATGATGTTAGCTGGGAAAACTGGTAGTCACACCTGCCGTGCACTGTTTGAATTTGGGGATAGGAGAATTGGTAAATGAGTGGTAGAATATGAAGGAAATACAATTCTGTCACAGCTTTGATTTACCTGTGTTTCTTGATGCATGGAGGGCATGTGATTCATTCCTGTGGATGGTTCTGAATCTTCACACGTAATTCTTTTATCTTCATCCCCCATTATTTATAATTAAGAAGATGACAAAGGGAAGAGGAACGAGATCTGTTTTGAAAGAGTATAGATATAGAGCAGTAATTTGAAAGTCTTTTGATTTCAAAGACTTCAGATTGTACTTATTTTTCCCTAAGAATTCTGAATGGCTAAACTATTTGAAATTAGACTATTCTTAATTTTCAATGGCGGTTTTTTTTTTCTTGATTCTCGTATATTATCATCATTCTTATCTACCTTTTTACTTCTCTTGAAAAAGCCTTTGTTGACCAATCACATTTTTATGATTTCTTTCCCACACTGTTTTTTGAGTTTTACTTAAAAACATTCCAAGCAATATCAGTGTTAAATTGTCCTCTATCATGGGCCAACTGGATGAAGCAGGAAGGCTCCAGGTAACTTTCCAATGTTGATATGAAGAATGAGTCACTAAAGGGAAATCTCTGGATTCCATCCTTTTCGGAGAATCTAGGGTCACTAACTCTTGCCTGGTTCTTATTTCTAAATTAAAGTTTAAAAATACACCACAATTGACTGAGTAGCCACAATGTCTTAGACACTACGAGAAGTGCTATGATAGTCACTTTTTAGTCATTGTGGGGAATTCAAAGATTACCAAAACACAGTGTTTGTTTTCCACTGACTTATCATATACCAGGAAAAATAAATTTATACCAAATAACTAAGAAAACCTGTAAGACTATCGATTGGCTCAATAAACACTCACTTCAACCCATTCTCCCTTGGCTTTCCATGCTATACAGGCTACAAGGCCAATACAGTACTCCAGTTCCTAGCCACTTTTGCAGGTAGAGGTAACCATGTGTCACAGTTCTACATATGAGATTTAGGTGGGAGCTTTGCGGGAGGCCTTTAGAGGATAATACTTTGTACTCTTTGTCCTCTAACATTTCCCTTTCTCCTTCCTAGAATGTAGATACAGTGGCTGGAAGGGCAGCAGACATCTTTCAAGCATGAGAATAAAAGCCCTCTACTTAGGATAGTAGATAAGTAAGATAGAAGCTGGTTCCTTGATGACAGCTTCCAGTTGCTCCATCAGCCTTGGACTGCCAAGCATTGGGGTAATTGTTTAAACCACTATTAATCAAGTTTTTTCTTCTTTTTTAAATAGTAAGGAAATTTACTCCTAATGCAACAAGTACAATGAGTATCTTGATAGAGGTACACACTACAAACTTGTGGTAGAATCAAAGAGAAAATTATGTAAGAGAAAATTATGTAAGAGAAAGGAAAATCTAATTCAACACATATCAAAGTGCCTAATGTGTTCCAGGCACTATGCTAGACATAAAGACAAGGATGAATTAGACAGGACCCCTCCCTCAAGGAATCATTTTCTCTGTTCAACAAAGTGCCAAGAAATTTGCATTTAAAATTTCAAAGAACATCATAATCTTTCTACCACCACCACCATTTTTCCTAATTACAAAACACAATGGTAACCAGAGTGCCATCTCAAAAAAACCTTTAGTTTACTTTTTATTATATATAATTTATAATATGCTTATATGATATATATGTATATGTATATATGTTAGTATATATACTTTTTTAAATTAAAAAACTTATTTCAAAATTTAGACTGAGAACATAAAAGAAAGTCAATTGACCAGAAAATGTTAGACTCAGAGAACACTTGTCTTAAAGGCATGGAGGCAAGAAAGCCAGTGGTGTGTGAGGGGAAACTGCTGGAGCCTGTGGCAGGAGGCTAAGAGTAACGGGAGATCAGGTTTAAGAGTTAGGATGTCAGATCTCCAACCACAGCATCTAGCCCTTACCTTCTGAAGTTAATAACCCCAAATATGGTAACTGACAAGATGGGCTGGGTTCGGATTTGGATAAGCCTGAGTCTGAAGTCCATCTCCCTCATATAGCAAATTGCTTAACCTCTTTGTGATTAATTCCTTATTTATGAAAGGGAGACAAGAATAGTTCTAACTATGCACAGTTGGCATTCAATAGTGTTGGCTATTGCTAACCACGCATATTCCTTCTTCCTGATTATCATAAGAAGAATCTTTAAGAATTGTTTTGTTTTCCCTATTAAGCAAGACAAAGTTAGCTCAATCTTGAAGAATTTACTACTTAATCCCATTGATTTTATTTGGTCATGATTTTTCATCTGTTTTTGAGGCCCACTTCTTGATGAGGTGGATGTAACATTCATTTCTTCACCTTTCTCAGTAGGAGAATTACATAGAAATTCTTTGGCAGTATCACTAGAATCATCTCTTTCATGAAATTCTCAAAATCACCGAGTTCTGCCACTTACAAAAACTATTTTTAAATAGTCACGAATTAGAAATTATTATTTTTAGTAGACACAAACTATTGGTTAAAATGAAGCCTTTGTGAACAAATTTTATTAATGTTATCACGGGGTCCTTTTAAACATAAACAACACAACTTGGTATGTTATAACATCTGTGGGATTTATATAATTTTACATCCCAAAAAACTTCCCTATTCTCCAATACTCTCAACCACAAATGCCAAAAATACTTATACATGATCAGAAACTACTGCAGAAATAAAGGATAAAATGAAATACCAGTCTTTTAATAAGCCCAGTAAGAGATCTTACAACTAGTCAGCTGTATTTGTTTGCTCTCTGCTGTGTTTCCAATTCTAAAAGACCATTTAAAACGCATGTCTCACTTCAGGAACCCACTTAAATTCAGGAGAATTTCAAAAATGTTAGCTTTACTTAAAGTGACCATGTTCATGGTATTTATTATTCATAGTCATTGGGTCTTGAAATTACAAAAATGACCCTTGAAGGGCCATAAAAAATGTCATGAAACTCTTATTAGAAAGTTTATTCTCTTTACTCATAGAAAGGTTCTTAAGGACTCACTCAGAGCCCATTAACCCTTATTTTGTTTTGTTTGTTTGTTTGATTTTTGAGAGGAAGTCTCCCTCTGTCGCCCAGGCTAGAGTGCAGTGGCATGATCTTGACCCACTGCAACCTCCGCCTCCTGGGTTCAAGAGACTCTCCTGCCTCAGCCTTCTGAGGAGCTGGGATTACAGGTGCCCGCCACCTCGCCTGGCTAATTTTTTTGTATTTTTAGTAGAGATGGGGTTTTGCCATGTCAGCCAGGCTGGTCTCCAAGTCCTGACTTCAGGTGATCCACCCGCCTAGGCCTCCCAAAATGCTGAGATTACAGGCGTGAGCCACCATGCCCGGCCCTTATTTTGAAAACAATTCTAATGACTTTGCTCCTTTGTTTTCCAAACCCTCAGAAGATTAGGTGTTAAATATTAAAATTCAGGAAGAGATTGCTGTGATAGAGGCAAATTGAGAGCAGCATTAGTGACTGATGACAGTGAAAGAGATGAAAAAGACAGCAATCTAAGAGTCATGAAATGTGGGGATACATATCTTTCCACAAGGGATATTTATAGTGTTGGCCTGCCAAGCACCTTTCCCATCACCTTTCTTGGTAACAGCACACGAATTTTCTTTTGTGAACTCCACACCTCCTCTATTCTCCATCCATCCATGTGGTCATGTGAGATTGTCATTCTGACTTCCCCAACCCACATGCTCCACCAGTGATCCAGGGATGAGGATCATTGACAGCCCTGGTCAATAAGGGAACTCCTTCCTCTGGTTACATTGATGGTTTCAGGCATGAGGACTGACACATACCTCACCAAAGAGAGTCAGCTTTGGGTATTCACTGGAACCTTTGGGAAAGAGCTCTCTCTTGGTGTTGCTAAACCTAGACTTGCTAATGAAAACACTTGTGACACCCAAGAAAGCTCTCCAAAGAATGAAATGACCACAGAGCAAAGAAGATTCTCAATGTGGAAAAGGAGGAAAACTGCAAATTAATCACCACATTGTTGGTACATCCAGAAGCAGCTACTTTTGAGTTAGATGAGCCAATAAATTCCTTTCATTAAGACAGTTTGATTTGGGTTTCTGTCACTTGCCACCAAATGAATCCTCAGTAAGAACCTTCATACCTGAATTGGCCCTGAAAGATCTCCTGTATAATAAATAATGTTTGGAAAAGTGATTCTCATACCTGTAGTCCCAGCACTTTAGGGGGCCAAGTCAAGTGGATCACCTGAGGTCAGGAGTTTGAGACCAGCCTAGCCAATGGTGAAACCCCATCTCTACTAAAAATACAAAAATTAGCTAGGCATGGTGGCAGCCACCTGTAATCCCAGCTACTTGAGGCAGGAGAATCTCTTGAACCTGGGAGATCATGCCACTGCACTCCAGCCCAAGTGATAGAGTGAGGCTCTGTACCCCTCTAAAAATAAAAAGAAAAAATTATGTTAGTATATTTTGTGTTTAAAAGGCACTAAAATAGATAGTACAATTTAGAGATTTTGTTTAAACAGAATGTTAAACTAAACAAAAATTTGGTATTTAATAAAATAGGTGTCAGTTATCCAGAAAATTAATTTAAGTGAAATGCTTTGTTTTTCAAAACAGTGCTGGTAAAACGAAATATTGTATGTAATGAATCTTACTTTCTCATTATATTCATGGAAGTCTTTTAAAAACCCAACATTAAACTACTTCTTAGGTACCAGAGAAGGTTCAAGAGAACTGTTAAAAATTTATCTGAGACACTGGGTGTCTGTGATTGAAAAATTAAAAAGTAGGAGAAATATAGAGAAACTAGATGGTTTCTAAGTAACTAAGAATCACAGATTAATGGAATAATAATAGTTGGGAAGCCCTTTAGAACCGAACTAGGCCTACCTCTTTAATATTTAAATGAGAAAATTAAAGTTTAGAGAAGCTAAATAGTTTTTCTCAACGCAGCCAATATCGGCCTCATAATAAAACTATAAAAGTTTGTATAATGAGATAGTTCTTTAATTTATATCTTTGACTTCATGTCATTTCTACCAAGTCACTGCATTGCATTTTTTAGTTTCTGCTATAATTCGTTTAAAATCCTACTCATATATGCCCATATACACCTGTAAGTTTGAAAACACATGCTGAAAGTAAATGCAAATATTTTTATTTTCTACCTTGCATCATCTTCAGCTTTACACTTTCC